AACAACAACAACAAAGTATTTAAAACCAAATAGAAGAAAACAAAGCAAGTCCTTATTTTCTGACATATTGACTCTACCTGGATGTTTCCATTTCCATGTTTACTAAGCTATCAACAACGAATATATTATTAACACTTCCCCACTTTGCCCCTTTTTTCCTCATCCTTACCCCACCTAGAACTGACTGCCCCATTACAATATTTGCCTTTTTCTCACTGCTGTATTATTCTTGGAAAAACCCAAATCAGATGGAGATATTTTCTTTCTTTTACCTCTTTTGAGTTAATTCCCAGGGGAAAATTAGCAGAAAGAAAAATTAAAAGACAAGAATAACAAACTATTTTAAAATTATCCTGCATCCATAGAGTCTTAATTATCCAATGTTCTTATAACAGACACAGTACAAAAGGTTGATTTTAACAGACATATATTTATTGTCTCAAAATGTATGAGGCTAGAAGGCTGAATTCAGGCGCCTCACTTTAGGACAATTCTCTCTTTCACTCTTGCTCAGCTCTAGAGGAAAGCCCTCAATTCCTTTCAAATCTGTGGGCCTAGTGTTCCTTGGAAAGCTCAGTGTGTCTTGTCCTTTCCTTGTGCTGAGAGTTCCAGCGCTGATACCAGGGTCCAAATGACACTCTCTACTCCATGCTCTTCTTTTTTGGTTATACTGTTGCCTCATTTCTGTGCCCACTTCTCTCTTATCTCTTGCAAGACAAAAGATGTGTGCTACACCCAGGAAAACTCCTCTTGTATTAAATCAGAACCATGATGGAATTAAAGGTATTCAATCCTTTTACAATTAGCTTACCAGAGCACAGAGGATCATTACATGTCAGTCACATTATATCATTACTTCTGAAATATTGATAATCATGGCCTAACCAAGGAAACACAAATTTGGAGGAACACAATTCAATCCATCACAATACTCTCTGGACTTGAAGCAGTTGGAGCTGATTTAGTCATGGTCATCATGTGGTACAGATTCAAATTTTTTAAATGCTAATTGAAAGAAGAAAACCTACAGGTCAAAGCCGTGAACTGGAAAACTTGAAAAGGTGTAGAGAGCCTGT